CTTTCCTGGCGGGGCCCCCTCCCGGCTTCTCGCTGGCGGGGCGTGAGAAGCCGAAAAGTCCTTGACTTAGTGTAAGCACTGCTTAGCAACAACTAAAACATCAGTCTGTTAGCAACGTTGTTCTCACCCTAAATCCAACACACAGCACTGTACCAGCTACTAGGAAGACAATTAACTCTATCCCAGCCGAAACCAGGACACCGATGCCCGTCCTCCCAGGAGCTGCGATAAGGGATTCAAGTGTGCGAGTCGCTTCTAGGTGTATTAAGAAAACAGGAATTGGGGAGAGCATGGGCGGAGAAAGTAGAATAAATGGGATTTCGTAGGAGGCAGAGCTGAAAAACTAGCTTTTTGGCTGCAAAGATAAATGCCATGTTTCGGTCTGTCTCCCTGCTTCACCGGCCTGCTGGGACGTGCTCGCTGACACGGGGCCGTGTTAGCAGCTTTGGGCAGCTTCGTTTCGGGGTCAGGATTTCCCAGCGTGCCCGTTGCTTTAGCCGAGGAGGGCGGCTTTGTTGTGCAGTGCCTGGTGTAGACCGTCTCCACAGGTTCCTCTTCTGTTTTTCTAGAAATCCAGGATTTTGCACGGGAGATCGGGATTGACCCTGAGAAGGAGCCAGAGCTGATATGGCTGGCCAGGGAAGGCATCGTGGCCCCGTTACCGCCCGAGTGGAAGCCCTGGTGAGAGCTCTGTCAGCAGCTGTCCTGTTAGATTCCTGCCCGTCCCCTGCTGTCTGCTGCCCACGTAGGTGGCGGAGCAGGGTACCGGCTGGCGGGGAGGGGGTAACGCCACAACAGATGTGCTTCCTGCGGGTGGGGAAACACCGTTTTCCCTTTTCATCCTGTTGTTGCCTTGCAGCCAGGACATCACTGGTGATATCTACTACTTCAACTTTGCTAACGGCCAGTCCACGTGGGACCACCCCTGTGATGATCACTACAGAGAGCTTGTCGTTCAGGAGCGAGAGAAGCTGCTGGCGCGTGGCGGCTTGAAAAAAAAAGATAAGAAGAAGAAGAAAGAAAAGAAAGAGAAGAAAGACAAGAAGGAGAAGCAGTCACTGAAGCGACCCACCGTAAGTAGGCTCTGCTGCTTGCAGCGCTTCTGGGAGGAGCAAGAGGGCTGGGCGGAGGACGAGCGAGCGGCCGTGAGTTAGAGGGTGATCCTGTGCTGTTGCCGCTTTGGGATCGGAACAGCGATCCCCTGCCAAGGGATCCCGTCCAGCAGGGTTGCGAGTCTGATGAAAATCCGACAAGAGCGGGGTCACAAAACCCACAAAAGTTGGGAAGTTTTGGTCTAGGAGGAGAGACCTGGAGTGGGGGTGCCACAGCCCTGCGATGCCATTGCTGAGAAGGATACGGCACCAGCCGAGGGGGCTGGTGCTATTCTTAGCAGCAGATATTTGGAGTGCTGGAAAGATTTCCTTCCTTGGAGAGGACAACAAATGGTGTTTATGCGGTGTCCGTGCATGTGTCGCTGTGATACACATGCAGTGAACACGGGTTTAGATGTGTGAGGTCAGTCTGCTTTGCTGTTGGTATCTGCAAGCGTAACCAAATTCCCTTTATATCCCAAGTGATAGCAAATCATCCCTACCTTCCATTTGGCAGTGATGGGATAAATCTTCCGGGGGAAAGATGGTGCCTTGTGTTGTCGCTCGAGGCATAGACCTCTTCGACTCGGAAAGCCTCAAGCCTTCAATTTGAGCGTTTTCTTTTATATGTATACGTGTAACTTCAAGTGCTCAAAAACTTACGCACCTATTTATATATAAATTGTGTACTAAATAAGTATATATCTCTACTTTAGATAGGTAAGGGTGTATATAGCGATGTGTGATATGTCTTAGTTATTTGCTAATGTTTATCTGCTTAGGGAATGCAGCCAGGGATTCTTCCTTCAACATCCTTTTGTCAAATGCCCTCCGCCGTTCTGCCCCCCGGGCGGGAGAGTCCTGAGTCAGATCCAGATAGCCAGGTTAGAGAGGAAGGCTGCCTAGACGAAGGCAAAAGGCGACCGTCAGACGTAAGTGACTCGGGGAGGCGATTTGCGGGCACACGGCCAAACAAACTGCATCCCCTGCTCGTTTCAAAGTTCAGCAGACCGTGCCAGACCTCACCTGATGGGGAGAACATGATAGAAAAAGGCTCCTCTTTTAGCAGCTTTGACGTAGACACCCCCCAGGACCAAGATACACCTTTAGAAATGCGAGAAAAGCTTTGTCTTGACTCCTCTGACTCACAGTCTGTCGATTTAGAGGTTAGGCCACCGGTGCAACCTTTGTGTGTGTCAAAGAAGTCCTATTCACAAGACTTTAAGAAAGTCAAAACTCTACTAGAGGCCCTTGAAGACAAAATCCTACTCTCTGAGGATGAAGAGCTGAAAGAAAAGTGGAAGATGAAGGACGAGATGGGTGAGCGTGTCCATAAGCCCTGTCATCACTTCTCAGTCAGAGAGAAATCTACAGGACTGGAACGGGATGTGGAAAGAAGTCCAGGCATGTGGCAAGCCAGAGAGAAAGAGAGCTTTTACCGCGGGAACGATGAAATGACTCTTTTTGATGCCAGTCCCACAGATGACTGGGGTTTGCAGGAGGCAGCTGATGTTCCATATGCTCAGGAAGAGCTGAGATCCTACAGCAAGGCATCCGAGCGTAGAAGTAAGAGAAAAGTTCGAGATGAGGCTTTGGGTCAAGCCATCAGTCTATACAAGAGCAATGAGACCATCAGCAGACCTGAGAGAAAGGGTTTGAAGCAGATGGAAGTAGGAGCAGATATAGAAGTAGGCAGTAGCAATGACACGCTAGAGAGCCGCTCCGCAGACCCTCAAGAGATCACAGATGTACTACCCTGCTTCCAAGGGGTAGCTGCAAAGAGAGGAATCGATGTGGATCTTCATTCTGCAGTGGATCCTACATCAGAACATGTTTGTTCGTCTGCTGAAGATGGCTGGAGAAACGACGAAGAAAGTGGTTTGATATCAGAGTACGATAGCAGCGATTCAGCCAGTTCTCATAACGATAATGCACCCCAGCTACTGGGAGTGAGCCGTCGCTTCTCTCCACGCCACGAGGCTGGGAGACAGAAGGATGTGCACGCCGTTGCAGAAGAGCCTCTACCGCCTCATCCCCTCCTGGGGTCATCCCTGGCTCAGACACTAAGTCCTGCCCGGCAGTCAGAGAGGGAGTGTAGCTCCGAGGGTAGGAAACTGTGCCACAGGCTGCAGGAATGTGAGAAAGGCCTCAGCCCAGAACCTGAACGCCTTAGTCCGATGGTGGATGCTTGTGGGGAATGCGCTGCCCAGAAGCCTAATGGTGCTGGAGTACAGAGAGAAGCGGAGAGAGGGAACGGAAGGACGGGTCAAGCTCCTGGAGTGCGGGGAGAGAAGGTCGCAGCAGACTTGCGGGTTGAGTGCCAGGGGAGCAACAGCCTCCGTCCGCACACGAAAGCGGAGATGACCCAAACCGGAGGAACTGCGGGGAGGTACAGCAAAATAGAGGTTGGTGAAGGAGCAGGCGGGAAGGAGGTAGGACTCAGTCCTTTGTGAGGGCCCTTCCATTGTAAATGTTTCTGGAGAGCTGAGAGTGCAAAATCTTGCTTCTAAGCTCATTTTCAGGAGAAAACAGGCAAAAGCATCCTGTTGGAGGTCACATAAGCAGATGTGGCATTAGTTTTAGTGGTTTTCCTAAAGCTCAGGAGGTGGCTTGAAAAAGCCTTTGTTTGTGGCCTTCCTTGCACGGCAAACGCTGCACAACTGGCACCTTGTTTGAGTTTTGCAAGGACACGAAGCACCTGCTGAACTGAAAAACGGGTGATGGGCAGTAAATCAAGTGGGACGGCAACATCAAATGCAAAATCATCTTTAATTTTGGCCCTAAGACTCTTTGTCGTAAGCATACTATAGTCTTTTCCCTGGAGATCCCACGATCTAAATTGAGGGGGAATAGCTTATTCAGCTGTTTTTAGCTTAATTTTGCTTGCTGAATCTCGAGTCCCAGAGTGATTGAGTTGGTTAAGGTGATACAAGAGACCATAAGTGGCAGTCAGCTCTCCTGCGTCCACGGCCAGTACCTTGAGAAATGGACTCTCTTCCTTCTTAAATGAAAGAAAAAGGGGAAAAAGTTTAAATTAGCTTTCTCAAACAAGAGGAGGAGTATTCCCAGTGGTTACAGGCCATTGTTTTGCAGGTGGGTGCAGTACCGACTTGTCTGAGCGCAGTTTAGTCCTTGGGCCGCTGCCGTTGTGGTCTTAGGACGCGAAGATGGTCGGAGGGCTGGAGCACCTCTCCTACCAAGACAGGCTGAGAGAGTTGGGGTTGTTCAGCCTGGAGAAGAGAAGGCTCCGGGGAGACCTTCTAGCAGCCTTCCAGGACCTGAAGGGGCTCTACAAGAAAGCTGGAGAGGGACTTTTTACGAGGGCCTGTAGTGACAGGACCAGGGGGAATGGCTTTAAACTGAAAGAGGGAAGATTTAGATGAGATACAAGGAAGAAATTCTTCACTGTGAGGGCGGTGAGGCACCGGGACAGGTTGCCCAGAGAAGTCGTGGATGCCCCCTCCCTGGAAGCGTTGAAGGCCAAGTTGGGCAGACGAGGCTTTGAGCAACCCGGTCTAGTGGAAGGTGTCCCTGCCCACGGCAGGGGGGTTGGAAGTAGATGATCTTTAAGGTCCCTTCCAACCCAAACCATTCTACAGTTCTATGAAGATGGCTTACAGGTGTGATGGGGCCCATCTATAAAAGTAATTTTCTCCTTCTTCCTCTGTGAATAGCTGGAGCGTTTTGCTCTGTTTTGCCCAAACTTTTTCCCTCCGTTGCCTATAGCAGGATCCTGCCCTTCACTGGGAAGAACGTTCCGGGTTGGTTTGTCTTTGTCCATAAGTAATCGCCTCAATTTAGTAAGAACTTACCAAATCTCCCGTTCTGAAGAAAAAAAAGAACTGAAAGGTCACTGTGTGTAATGTTAACGAATTGCTTTGCTCTGCTGCTGCTGGTACCCGGCTGCGGCTCCACCAAATCGCTCGCTCAGGCTTCTAATTACCAGCGTGTGGTAGCGCTCAGTTAGCTGCTAAGAACTATGGCTATAAATATCAGATAAACTGCAGATTATCCTGAAAGTTTTAATTAGCCCGATGGAAGTGAGTTTATCTTTGCCGAAGGACAGCTGACATCCTCTGCTGCACACAGGTAGTTACCGGCCATCTGTAGGAGAGAATTAGTTAAGCCCAGACTGTGTGATTTATCCTGTTACCATTGCTGCAGCAATGACTTGGTGGAAGAAGGATCAGCGTATATTCACCTCCCTCTCCCCATCCCTCAGCGTGCGAGTGAGTTAACTCTCTTTTCAGCCTGTGATCTTGTATGGCCGCGGAGTAGAGGAGCCGTGACTTCCGAATACACACACGCTCTGCTGAAGCGACAGCGCTTGGCTGTACTGGCGTGCTACAAAGGAAACCCTGGCATACGTCTGCTTCTAGTTTAACCTGTGCAGCGTATCACAGGGTGAGACGACTTGGGTGGGGGATTCCACGAGGTCAAGCAGAACGGTCACGTTTCTGGGTGAAGGGAACGTGAGATGTCAAGCGTGCATTGCTCAGAGGCGAGGACGTTGGCTGGCTCCCAGGGCTCTTGCTGTGCTTTGAAAGGGGGAGGTCTATTCAGGAGCTTCTTAGGGACGTGCTGCAGCAGAGCTGCTTTCCGCTGCCCCTACCTTTTCCACTGGTGGGGGGCGAGGAAGCAGCCTGGATTTCGGTCTAAAGAGAGATGGTAATTGCAGCTTGTGGAGAGTAGGAGGCTTCTTGCCGTCAGAGCGGTTTCTACTTCACTCGTTTCACGCTGCGCGGAGTAGCGGGGCAAACGGAGGCGAAGCTGCCCGGTTTGCCTCGGGTGTGTGATGTTGGGTAGGAGCCTCTCCTAGAGGGTGCTGTGTGGGGGTACGTGCAGATGTGTGAGCTAGCGTGGCTCCTGTTGTTCTCTCGCTCCGGTTTTGGAGTAACGCCCGTTGATTTTTCCGAATCGCCTCACTGCTGTAAAGTAAGCCACCATATTCGGATGGGTCTTTGGAAGACAAAATGTGTGAGTGAATCAAACTGCTGTTCCTTACACGTCTCACGTGCTGGCGATTGCTGGGTGTGGGGTCTCGCAAGCAGTTTTGCAGCGGTGGTGGGCTCAGTATCGGCAGGCAGCGTTCGCACGGGGGAGCGCGGTCTCCCTTTCTGAAACAAGGAGCGTAAGCTGTGCCCCCGTGCTCTCCCGTCAGTGAGTCCCTTCTGCACGCTCCAGCCCTCAGGCACCCTGCTAGCACCCGTCCAGGCGCCCCTGGGGAACCTCGCCCCGCTGCGTGGCCTTGCGGCGTCTCCGGCCGGCATCCTTCGCGGGTCGCTGCACTCGGACGTGGGGAGCTCGCTGGACTCCAGCCTCGCGGCCAAAGGAGGAGCGCAGGTAAGGCTCCGTCTTCCCTGGGAACAGGCCCTGGACAGCGCGCCCTGCAAGAGGTCACGGGCGTGGTGGTACTTAGGAGCTTAAATGACAGTATTTGTGATCTCTTGTCGGTGGTTAAAAAACCACTTCCCTACTCTGTCTTTCACCGTATTTCTTTTCTTTTGCTATTTCTAGGGAGCCCAGCGCTAAATTTGCGGCGAGCTTTCTTCTGCTAGGTTTAGCAGCTTTAAAGAAAGAATTGTTTCAATTACTGTTGGGGGGAAAAAAGTCTGGGTTTGAACTAAATTAACTAAAAGTTCATTTTAGTAAAACTTTTGATTTGTGTCCAAATGTAATCTAATAAATAATATTTTCACTCAACTATTTGCTGAGAGTAAAAAAAAAAAAAAGAACAATTTTCTGGATGAACGCAAGACTTACAATCATGTCGAATGATTATTTATAGAATGTGACCTTTGGGTCAACAAAACAAACGTGTTAAGTGGTAACAAATTGATCTTTTAAAGGAAAACAAAACAATATATGTGCAAAACATACAAATCAACACCTTCACTGAAGGCTTTCTTCTTGCTGAGTTAAGTCTTGTCACTGGTGTTTTCAAACACTGTGTTTTATTACGGTCTTCACTGAATCAGTGTTTTGAGGCGCAGGCAGGTTTTGCGGATGTGCTTCTATAGGAGAGGAGCCTCCTCGGTGTAAGGGAAAGCGTGGCCTCATAAAGAACGCGTCGTCTCCCAGCGGGACGTGGCTCTCGCAGACCAAGGGTAGCAGCGTAGTCCTGAGCACCTTCTCGGAACTCAGCAGCTTCCCTGCTGCTGGCCGGTGTCTCGGTGGGCTTGCATCTCCCCTTTCTCTTCGGCTGTCCTCTCACTTCCCTTTCTTTTTGACTTCACAGCCTGCAGAGACCTGTAAGCCCCCCAGCCAGACCAAGAAGTTGCTGGGCTTGGTCTGCGAAGAGAAGAGTTCCTTGAACACAGCGGCCCTAGGTGAAGGGAGAAACGAAGAGGAAGAAAGCGGGAGTGAGGTAGTTTGTGCGCCTTGGCTCTTAACGCGTGTCGGTAACCGTAGTGCGTGAAGCCTCAAGGCATGGAAAACCGTGATGCTCCCCTGGTAATGGCTGATTGACCGTGGCGGTTCCATTTGACTCTGGGCCTTACTTTGTGCTGCACTTCCTCTGTGTGGTGTTTGGTCACCAAAGAGTATCTAATCCTGTTTTCTCCTTGTACTCCCTGTAAATCGACGTCTGCCACCACGTATTTCCGAAATGAATTGTTTGTAGGCTCGTTGCCTTGGCATATCGCTATGGCTCTGCTGCCTTATTTCACTGATCAGGAACCCCCCGTTCCTCCTGTGCGGCCTGTGGGACTGCAGAGGTCAGAACTCAACGCTGGCCATCTCCTTTTTCAATACCTTTAGAGTCTCCGTGGGGCAGCACGACTGTTGAAAAACCTGCACGTGGATGTCAGCGCCCTGGGAGGCAGCTTTGACTCTGAGGTAAGAATGCGGGTGATGCGAGACGGGCAGGAGAGACTGCCCGGGCAGGAGAGGAGCTGCGGCACTGCCCAGCCAGCGCCTGGGCTGGGGAGGGAGAGCGCAGGAGAGGTGCCCGAGGGACGAGGTTCGTGTGTCACTTATGAGCAGGAACAGCCCGGGGAGCAGGGCTGGGAGGAGTGTGAGGGGAGTGTATGAGAAGCCAGCTGCAGTCTGCGGGGGACAGCAGCGTGGGTGTCGAAGGCAGGTTCGTGCTTGAAGGAGAATGCCTGCGGTTTGGTAGATGGGATTTGAGGAGACAGCATCTTTGCACAGCGTGGAGCTTTGTTTCTTTCTGAATGAAGAAAGAGAGAAACTTAGAGCCATATAGGTGCGATGGGCAAGCTGGAGGTCGGCTCTTCCAAGGAACAGCCGAAAGGAGAGGGTCTCAGATCCGAGAGGTGCCACGGCGCTTGCTGTGGGAGGAAGAGGAACGGTTTGCTTCCTCATCGCTTTTTTATTTTAGTGCGTGTGGAAAGAAGGCTCATTCTCAGCTGCAGCTGCGATGGTGGCACTGGGGAGAGGAGGGGGGAACGTACTCTGGAAACGCCATTCTTGCGCTGTCACTCAGTTCCACAAGAATCTTAGAAGCTTCCATGTGGACCGCGCGTGGCCACATTTCTGTGGCAACCTAAAACCTGTTTTCTTTCTTCTTGCGCTGCTGATAAATGCCATGGCTCAGACACAGAGCGTCAGCAGCGAGTTCAGTACACGCGTGGCCTTGTGCAGACGTTTTGCTCTCCCTGCGGGTGTGGGCGCTCTGCCCGCGCTTTCTTAGCAGCGATCAGGCTTAAGATGACAAGGGCACAATGGGAAGTGCGTTGCAAGCGGCTCTGGTGATTCGGCCCGACTGTTTGCGCTGACATTAATCCTTTCTCACCGCTTTGAAAACTCTGTTCCAGTATCTGAAAGGCAAATTAACGTCTTTTAAAGCGTTTCACAGTATTTCCCTTATCCTTTTCACAGCATACGAAAATTAAGCTGTAAAGTCCTTTGCTGGAGAACCCATTCGCGGTGCTGGGCAGAAACTGCAAAGGCTTACGCTAAAGTAGATGTGAAAAAGAAAGGCCCGACTCCCCCATCTCCAAAGAGCAAGCAGCCTGGCGGGGCCCAATTCGCCACTGAAATGTTAACGTGTCCAGGAACAAAGAGCTGTCTTGGCATTTCAGTGCTGCGGCAAGGCTTCAGGAATCTGTGATGAAACGGCAATTGCCGCCCAGCAGCCGGGCTCTGTTAACCCAGATGGGCGATATCTTAGTCCTGATAAGATATTAGTGCCCCACTGGAAAATATAATTCACTTGTAGCTCCATGAGATGGCAGTAGAAAAGCGCTCCTGTGAGCGAGCCTCAGCCTGCAGCCCAAGCCGTTCTCCAGCCTCCTTACAAAAGGGCGAGGAGGAAAGGATTCGTACAGCAGGCCCCTAGAGGGGGGAAATCTAAGCAGCAATGGGGTGAAGTGGTGAAAAAAACTGGCTTCGTGTAGCCTGTGGATCAGGGTTGAGCACCTGTATTCAAAGAAAATAAGCACGTGGTTTTAGTGACTTGCTGAGACGCGAGGCTGTTGGGTGAGAGCGGAGGCTGCATCGAAGATGGCACGAGCGTCTGGGAGAGGGAGGGAGGAGAGAGGGAAAGAAATGCTACCCCCCCTCAGTGGGCTTTTCTGGGGTAAGTTAACTGGGGAAAAGGCGCTGGAAACGAAACCCGGGTCAGATGCTGGAGAGCATCTGAGGAGCGAGGTTTATGTGTAGTAGTTAGAATGTACTCTTGGAAAGAGGGCCCCTTCCAGGCACCTTGGTTGGCTTGGCTGCTCGTGGGGTTAGCTCTCACCTGAACCCCGCTTTCTTGCCTTCTGAGTTCCTGTGCTGGAGCGGTCGCTGCAGACGTGTGAGACTCTGCTCTAAAATACAAAAGGGCTTTGGGGTACCGCCGGAAGGGGCAAGAGGAGGAAAAGCTCTGGAAGCATCTCTGGGGAGATGCCTGGGGAGAGGGTCCCATGGCAGCAGAAGTGATCCCCTGACGCAGCGCTTGCAGCTTGGGAGGTTTAGTACTCTGCCTTCTGTACAGGCCGATCTCTGGGTAAACACTGGGAGTCAAGGGGGTCCTTTGTGTGGTGGGAAATTGCCGTGCAAGGCTTCTTTACCAGATGGAGATGTGTGAAAGGGAGCTGTCTCTGTAAATAAACATTGCGCAATACAGCGTGTGCGTTACTGCAGAGATGTATGTCGGAAGCAGTGCTGCTGGTTCCCAGGAAACAAAGACATCCATAAAATACCAGCGCGGGGATGGCTAGCGACAGGGGAGGAAAGGCTGCTGTGTTCATAGCCTTGCTCTCTCCCGTGCTGGGGGAGCGTGGCTGAGAACTGCCGTAGTGAGCCACGGCCGGTGGGGAGTCCTGAGCTGGGAAGAGTCTGGTAGAACAGCGAGTTCGCCGAGCTGGCCAGCAGGAAAAGCGGCAGCGGTACGGCATGCAGAGCATGAACGGTTCGATGTTCGGGAGCCTGGGCCTGTGAGCTCCTGAGCGCGGGTTGGAAAGCTGCGCAGCTGGAGAGCTTTCCAAAGCTCCAGGGGTGCCTGCAGTGGGTGATACGCAGGGCGGTGACCTGTCGCAGGCGGGTGACCCTACCAGCTTGGAAAGGTGGTGTGAGGACTTTTGCTAGTGGATGTGTTCCCCCACCCACCAGGAGGACAGCAAAGCAGAGGAGGAAAACCGCGGCAGCCGGTTAGCTGATGTCGCTGAAGCTGATCTCCAGCACCGAAGGAGTCCTGCGGAGGAAGCTGGCAGCCTGAGAGAGGTGATGAGTGGCTCTGACGTCACGGTCCTGCTTGCATGATGCCGCTGAAGCTTTGCATGCAGTAGGCAGCTTCTGGTGTTGTGGTGCGGATCTGATAGTTGCTTGGTTTGTTTCTTTTACTGGTTAAAGTATTACGTGCACGGAGAGAGGCGTAAACTTAAAAACCACGGGCAAATGCTACCCAGATGAGGTCTGGCAAGCCTAACCCTCTCTCTGTACTGCTGCGCCTGAGAACAGCCCAAAATCAGTGAGCAAGGGGGGAGCACATCACCTTGCAAAGTCCTTCTGTATGCAGCATGAGATTTCTTTTTCCTCTTTTCTTCCCTTTTAAAGGTAGAAAGAACGTGAATTTTTTTTGTTGCGCTATCTCACTTTCAACCTGTTAAAGCCCGAAGAGGGGGCATAGTCATCCCGTTTCCTGGGATGAGTAGGATTCCGTTTCGGTGGCTGCTGCTCATACTGACTGCTCGTCTCCGGGTCAGATGCCTTTCCAAAACCTGGTCCCATCGGTATCGATGTGCTTTTCTCCAGACTTAGGCTGATCACTGGAAGTAATGATTTGACAGGCAGCAATTTCACATCAGTTAGTGTCACTCAGCTGCAGGTAAAACGTGTTACAGCTTGTGAAAAGGTCAGGTAAAGCCAGTTATAACCTGACTGACTTGTCCTAGCTCCGAAATCCGTAGAAAACCCATCGTCCGTTTTTGCACGAGGAAAACCTCCCTCCTCCTCCACCTGTGTGTCTGACTGGCATAGTTCCCTTTTCTGGAGGGTTGCATTTGTGGGCGTTAAGGTGTAATGTTAACAAAAGTTTTGTCTGTATCTGTCCTTAAAATAGGATTCCACCAGCTAAAGAAATTATTCTGGGATATTCTAGTGACGGAGGTAAACTGGCCTGGAGAGAAATCTTTTTGTGTGCACCGTGTTACTGGATACATTGGTATATTCTGTAGCGGGGTCTGTGCCCCTCGAAGGGGAAATACCCGTGTACCACTTTGAAGCGTAAGAATCCTGATTGGTGTCATTTGGCATATCTGTTCTTGGGCACGGTCAGATGTCCTGCGGAGAGGTCCTCAGGAAAACTCTAAAACGAGCCCGTCCAAAAGGGAGCACAGCTAGCGACCGGTCTTTCCAGACACCCTCATCCCCAGATAAAAGGAAGCGTAAGGAGGACTCCTCCGCTGGAGTAACACTAAAGAAGTGCCTCTCGCACGCGCTTTTCGGGGGTGCTGGAATAAAGATGTTATCAAGGCCTTTGCAGAGCCTCGTGTGGCTGGCTAGTGATTCAGTGGCGTGTTTGTGAACCTCTGCTAACCAGGCACCGAAGTGGAAAGGGGCCATAAGCTTTCATTTATTACTCGGTGGATGGCAGGTGAGGCTCTGAAAGGCAGGTTTTTTTGGAAAGTACCCAGCGATTTGGTTTCTCTGTCCTCCTCTCTAGCCTGATGGATGGCGCTCTCAGCCCTGAGAAGGTCTCTCAGACAAATGACGTGCTAGGAGACGTTCCTTCCGTTTGCCGCAGCTCCGGGTTGAAAGCTGACAGCGTTCCAGTTGCACTTTGATAAAAATGCGTCGTTAAAATATGCGGTCTGTGTATGGTACACGCTGTACACAGGATGCAGCTAATGTTTGACAAGATACCACAGCATTAATAAAACAGCGAGAAAGTAGGACGTGCTAGCAGTTTTGTTTGCATACTGATGAGGGAACCTTCTCCTGCTTCCTCCTGGCTATCGCGCTTTTTATTGTGAGCTTTGTGGGCCTCCCCACTGCTGGGAGAGGCAGTCGAACCTTTGGGTGACTAAGTTTTAATTGGGGATTGCTTTTTCCCAAGGCCGGCGGGTTCTGCCATTTCTCAGTCTAGTGTGTTAGCTAGTCACGGTCTGGCTCTGAGCTCAGAGCGGAGGCTTAAATCAGTGCCTGCCCTCAGGTTTGTCCCGCCGGAAGGTGGGAGGATTGCATCCTGCCTGCTCTTCTCTGCTTATAATTTCAGGCAGAAGTTAAATGTCCAGTAGTAGTCTTTTGCAAATTCCCATCCCTCACTGAACAGGTTCAATGCGGAAGCATAAATGGGCATAGTGCAGAGCACGCAGGGTGCTCCCAGGGGTCGACGGTTCCTGCAGCAGCCGCTGCTGACTCTTGTCCGCTGAGACCCTGTGAGTTAAAAAGCAACAGATTGAAAAACCAAAAGTCTGAGCCCAGGAAATGAGTGTGTGTTGTCTTAATGAAGTTCCCTGTCTTTGAAAGGGACCGTATGAAAAGAAACCAGACTGGTCTCGAAGTCACCCAAAGCTTTGCGATTTTGCTTCCTGCTGTAGGAGAACCCGTGCTATTTCTGACCCCCGCATCCTCCCGGAGAGGAGGTAAAGAATGTTGTAGCTCTAATTGTGTTTGACTTGCTGCCTAGAAGGAGTCTTTAAAATCAAGACACGCTGAAGAAGGGCGAGAGTCTTCCTTGGATTCTGACGCTGCGTGCCCTCCGACTCCAGTTCCAGTCCTTCCCGGAGATGCTGACAGTAGCCTGTCTGGCCAGAACAAGGAGGAGTCCGATGGGAAACTCGCTGGGAATGAAATACTGGGCAAGGGAGATGCTGAGGTGGAAGGTGACATCTCCGCAGCTGATGAGCTGCCACGGTCTCCGGGGGAGAGGAGCGCAGCAGGGACAGAGGTGCCCGGCGGTCCTGGGCAACCTCGAGTTGCGTCTCCAGCTGCTGAAGCTGCTGAGGCAGATCAGCTGGCGAGCCTGGCTGCCACTGTCGACACCGTGTCTGTTGATGAAAAGATAGTGAACGAAATGAGGGAAGAAGCGGCAGCTGATCTGAAAACAGACAGCAGGCTGGATGCTGGCAAAGTAAGAGACCTGCCTGCATGGGTTGGGTTTGGTGCGGAAGCTGCTGTGGCTGTTCCCGTTGCTTTGTAAGGCCCTGATTCAGGAAAGCTCTTCGAGCACTTACTCGTTTTCTGTTAAGTCGGCGTAAGCGCTTTCCTAGTCAGCAGGGTGTTCCTGGGGGGGCACAAGTGCTCTGAACTCCCAGATCGGCATCTTTTTTGGTACGGAGCTAGGAACTCATTCTTGTATGCATACGCAAAGGGCTGTCCAAAGCAACCGAGAGGCAAACACCCTGAACCGTGACGCGTGTTTCGAGTCTTGGAGGAGAAATGAGTCTCAGCTTTCAGTGCTGCCATCTGTACTAAGCAAGCAGGTTTCGTAATGAAGCTCACACCAAGCCCAGCTGTCCGTGCTGCTTTGTTTCTCTCCTTCTGTTGTTTCTCTCAGCTTACGCAGAGATGGGGCAAAAGTGTAAAGTGAGCTGCCAGCTGCGATATTCGCAGCTCTGCGGAAGGGTGTGACAGGGAGGCGCGAGGTCGGAGTGGGGAAGGACGGCACCTCGGGGCTGGCTCCAGAGCCGTAGCTCGAGTCCGTCGAGCATAGTACCTTCCAGTCTGCCCGCTGCTTTTCTAGCGCGCTCTGGGAGGAGAGCCGGCAAGCAGCTGACCGCACTCAGCTGACCCAGGGTATTTGACTGTGCAGTCTCTGGCGGGAGAAGAACCACTCAGTGTCACAAGGTGCAGATGGGTTAATGGCCTGGCCCCTGCAACTGGGGTGCCAGACAGCCGCACGCTACCCACTCTTACTCAGTGTCTTCCAGAAACGTTAGCAATATGAGATCCGAAAAACTCTCCCTTTCCAATCTAGCTTCCTTCCTGCTGATCCTGATTTTTCTAGTTCCGTTGATGTGTCACGACTTTAAGAAACGAGGAGCTATAAAACTGAGCCTGGAAAACATGCTCTGTCCTGAAGAGCTTAAAGGTGAAAGCTTTGCTTTTACGAACACTCACCTGCATGCTTGCTTGATGCATCTGGGTAGTTCTGCTGAAGTCGGCAGGGCTACATGGGTGTTCACGTTGAACGGTTACGTATTGTTTCACGATGGCTGGGAACACAGGAGTCCTCGCTGCGGTTGGGCATGGCGAGGTGTACTTTAAAGTCCTTTCAAGACCATGGTACTGTTCCGTGCGGCCTTGCCCATTTGGGGAGTTCTCGGAGCTGCAGAGATCCTCGCAGAAGGAGCAGAGGACAGTAAGCAAGCGCCCTTTATCAGGGATACGTGAAGAGCACTTCTCTGCCCTCCCCAGTCCCATCTCCTGCCCTCCTTCCCCAGTCCTTTACCTCTGTGAAGTGGTGTTTTGTGCTTGTCTTGTGCGTCACACCCTTAGTGTCTTTCCTGTGACATTCAATCACCTTTGCTTCCCTACGTTAGAGAGGCCAGACTTGTCTTCCCAGTATCAGTTGTCGTCTTGTTGGAAATGCCTAGGTGAAGCTGCAGGGGTGAGGCACGTACAGGCTGTAATGCATATCTCCTCTCAGCTTTCGAAGGCATCCGAGACCAGCGACTGCGCGGAGGACTTGCAAGTTTCTAACCGCTCGGACCGTGAGCTGATTCAGCCTATGGTGAGTCACTAAAAGCTCCTCGTCCCTTGGGTGCGGGCTTCCTCTTCCTCTGGGAACGTGCAGCCAGTTAACGCTGTGCCCACCTCTTGCAGTCTGACTGCCCGGCTCCTTAACGGCTGAGCAATGACCTTACAGCTGTGGCACAGGCCAGCAACGTCATCCTGCGCTTAGCAGGTTCTGTCTGTGGGTGAGGTAATATCCCTGGAAAAGTAGGTCACTTAGAGCTGGGACTGTACTCGGATAATTGCAAAAAGGAAAAATAATAAGCAATGTAAAAATTATGCTTTAAGGGGCTCAGCAGCTTTTTCTAAGGGGAGTCTGTATGGCCGGGAGACCTGGCTCCTGAAGGTCCCAGAGGGAGAACGCGCAGGAGGGTAGCCCGGAGATGGCGGGGGGAGATGCCCGTCAGCATCTCTTCAGCTCCACGGGAAAATGCCATTGCCATCTGCCAGTGGGAGCAGGGGCAGCATGGCCAGCAAATGGCTGAGAATATCGTTATTTATCGGTGTTAGTACCAGCCTGCGTGTTGGCAAGTGGCTGCCGCCTCAGACAATACCTTTTGTGGTGCTCGCTTGTGGGCATGTGTGCGCACAGACACACGCGCTCCGCGTGCGCAGCCAAGTGCGAGGACCCCCAGAGACTCTGCCAGGAGGGAGAAATATCTCGGAGAATGAATAGCTTGTGAGCGACTCGCAGGAGCTGACTTTTAGGAAGAATCTCGGCAAGTCTGCAGCAGTATCAGAAACGAGAGCAGTAGAGGCTGGGGAAGATCTGCTGCTTGCTTTGGACGTACCATGTGTCACCCCTGCCTGCTGTGGTCGGTGGCATGGAAGCGTGCTCTGGTAGCGTGACAGAGCTTACCGCCCCGCGGTCCCTCTGTGGCATTGCAGTCCCCTGGCCTCACGGGGAGAGATTCCTTGGGGACCGTCAGTGAAGGGAGCCTCTGCGCTGCGCGTTCCCAGCGGCCGAGCCCGTAGAGAATCCTGATTTACTGAGAGCCCCCGTCTGCCGTCGTCCCAGCAGGCAGGTCTGCGTAAACCACCTTGCCTGCCTGTGCCTCTGCACCTTGGGAAAGACAGAAAACCCACCTCGCTGCTGGTCAAGCCACTAACAGAGCCATCTGCCTGTCTGCAGCACAGATACGACCTATGCTTGGACGCGGGCCTGAGTCTTTGTGTAGCCATCTCCTATGTCCTGTAAACCTTTCTAACTGTTCAAATATCTAGTGCTACAAAAGGCTTGCTGTCAGTGGGATGGCGAGTGTGGATTCCAAGCTGTGTTAGGATTTTGCTCTAATCTGTCAGGATCTCTGGTAAAACCTGCGCGTGCTCAGCAGACACTGATCCTTTCCTGCTTTCTTCTTTAGGACTTGGGTTTCCAGAGTCGGCTTTCTGAGCAGGTCCTGGACGCGGGGGTTCTGTCTCCTGTTCTGGACGGCCCCACGTGCAAGGTAGGTGCTGTATCTGTGATCGGGGACCGGCCTGTGAATAGGCAGGGTAAAATGCTGTACTGTGGCGCGCTAATCGCGGGATGATGGTATTGGCATAAAGGCTCTGCAGAGGCAAACAGAAGTGACGTGTTAAGTGCCCTGCCTATGGCAGGGCAGGGATTAGAGCAGCACTACGAGTGCATTGTTGTTTTCTGCAGAGGTGAGGTGCAGGTAGCTACACAAAGAACATACTCTTTGAGTAGAGGTGGCTTCTGAGGGGTGCGTGCGTGCGGGCTCACACGTGTGCTTTCCCTGCCCCAATACAGGTGTAGATAAATGGCTTTCCTGGGGAACGGTGGCAAGCAGAGTCTGTTTTACTTTTTTCTTTTGTGAGTATATTTGTCCTTTTCTTTCTCTTAAGCAGATGGAAAGGATTTGTGTAACAGAACACGATAGCGTAAATGGGAGGAAAAGGAGGTTAACTCCCTCTGATGGATTTTGGTATAGGGAAGCTTATTTTTAAGCATTCGGTCGTCTTGCCTGCTTGCGTGTAGGGGGTAAAATAGGCTCCTTGCAGCGGGTCTGTGGCCTATGAGGGAGCGTACGTAAGCATGCCCACGTCTGCGCTTCCTGCATCGTGTTAGCCCGGGATGCAGCTGTGATCGGGCGGTTCTGACTGAAGAAGATTGCTGTGCGTCTTGAGGTTTTATCCTTGTCTTCTCAGCACGTTACCCAGTTGGCTTCCTCAGCCCCACGTTCCTACTGAGCCCTCGCAGGTACCCCTCTCCCGCACCACCTCGGCTCATCAGCGTGTTGGCTGGAAGAGCGTGCCGCACAGCGAGGCGGAGGGTCAGGCTCCAGCTGGGGTTACTCAGCCTTGCTCTGATTGTAAGTGAGTTGATCGGCTGCGCTGGAGGAGACCTTGAGTGGAAAACTCACCACCTGTCCAGCAGAGAGGAGCAATCCAGTCTGTAAGGTTGCGTCTGGAGAATACACCTGTCCTCTTGTGCCTAATAATGAGCATAATCAGATGCGAAGGGAAAACAAAACACACGCCTGCCGCGTTCTCCCCCTCTCCCTCTTGCTGCAGCACAATCACCGTGCATACAAATGTCTTGTTGGAGCAGCCACGTTTTGAGTTTATTACAGCCCTGTCTTGAGGAGAAGTGGCTTTGAAATGGTGCTCCCTGCAGAACTGCAGCTGCTCTTCTGTGTCAGCAGACAGAGGCCAGTCTGAAATGAGACTCTGGCTTGTAGGAATGGCTTTACCTCCACGTAGTGAGCTTGCCTCGCTCTGGATATATTGGCAAAATTTTCTGTTTTTTTTAAAAAAAAAAAAAAAAAAAGGAGCCCACCTCTGTCAGCTACGTGAGCACAGTATTGGAGGGTGTTGGTTAGCGTCTTTTGGCAGGCGCCGTGGTAGCTTGCAGAGGCCGCGTGGGCTGCCTCCTGCTAGACCCGGCTTCTCTGCTGGCAGTGGGGAGGCTGCTCCCTTCACCCTTCACTTAACAGGCGTTTAAAGTGCTGGCATCCTGCTTTGCTGGCACTGCTGCTGCGCTGAGGGTGACGGCGGCGAGGAGCTGGAAGCAGGCATGCGATCTAAGCTGATGCGTGCTGGAGATGGTGGAGATCCTCCTGCCGGGGTTCCTTGGGAACTGTGCTGCGCGGAGGGAGGAGACGGCCCATTACCTGGCGTCCTGCTTCCCTGCGGCCACAAGACTGGCTTCGTGTTGTGAGCGTGTGAGGTTTCCTCTGTGGGATGCAGCCTGGCGTTTAAGCAGGACAGAACGCGAAGCTGCTTGCAGTGCTGGGACTGCCGAGGATGCTGAGGCAACAGGAGGGGCAAGGCTCTACGGTAATTTCACAGACGAGGCTTAAAACCAGCCCTTGTTCCCTGCAGGCAGGCGCTGTCTTCGCCTTCTCGGATGTGTCCAGAGATTCCTGCAGCCCGTGATTTCTGGGGCGGGAGTGCCCTCCTGGGAAGGCGTGTTGGGCCGGAGTGCAGCACTGGGCCCAGGTGTGGGCTCGGCAGCACTACCCTGTGACTGGTTATCCCTGTTCCCAGGAAGACCTCGTTCTCCGTTTGTCTGGCTTCTTCCCTTTCACAGGCAGCGGTGACAGAGCCCGTTTTGAGCCAGGAAGCACTCGCCGAGCTCCTCGGTTCTCGGGGATTGAAGTCATTATTTATGCTGGGGCAGGAGGGAGGCTGGGAGGGGGAGCTGCCTGGGAGAGCTCTGACCAGGCTGATGTGATGGCGGGTGACAGCACTTGCAGGGAATCCTTCTGCCGTTTGCTCCACTGAACATTTGCATAAATTACTGCTGTTTTAATTCTGTGTTATTTTGGCCCTGCTCCACAGTACGCTCCCGCATGGCAAGGGCTGAGCTCACCCGCCGTTTCTGTGGCCCCCAAGAGTTTATGAGTGGGCTACTCCTCTGGGGAGCAGAAACCTCAGCGAGGAGGATCAGCCCTTTCTCACGCAGGGCTGACAGCTTGAAGAGGGAAGCTCTTCCCCTCCCCAGGTGAACTGCGCAGTGCATGTTTGCGTGTGCCTGCTGCAGGGACAGAGGTGCCTGGTAGCTGGCAGGTGGGAGAAGGAGCAGCTGACTATTCCGCATTCAAGTATTTGCTGTTCGTATTTCAAGTATTTACAATGTCATAAATAAGCCAACTGAAGTTGCTCAGAGTGTGTTACCGAGGGGGCTGGCTTCCTTAGCAGCACCCAAACTGACGTGTTCTGGAGTGAGCAGCCAGAAATCCCTGGGTAGGCGCGACTGCGGGTATGCTGCTCATCACGATCCGCCTGAGAAGCAGGATGCGAGGCAGGACTGAGTCCTGTTGCGATTCCAGTGACAGCCAATGTGTCTGTCCATTTGCTTTGCGGCCACAGCACACTATTTCACTTTCGTGCGCGTGACATTTCTGTTTGTTTTAGGAGATGTTTTTTTGCCCTCCGCTTTTCAGGGAGTTTAGTGTCGCTTGGATATCCAAGACGATCTTCAGGAAAAAAAACCCCAACCTGTGTCCAGAGTGCTGACCGCGGGCAGGGAGTTCATCTTCTGTACTGAAAAAGCAAACCCCAGCCCATAACCTAGCACAACCTGGAGAGCTGAGCTCCCAGGCCTCTCAATTCCGCGCGGCCAATGTGTCTGTCCATTTGCTTTGCGGCCACAGCACACTATTTCACTTTCGTGCGCGTGACATTTCTGTTTGTTTTAGGAGATGTTTTTTTGCCCTCCGCTTTTCAGGGAGTTTAGTGTCGCTTGGATATCCAAGACGATCTTCAGGAAAAAAAACCCCAACCTGTGTCCAGAGTGCTGACCGCGGGCAGGGAGTTCATCTTCTGTACTGAAAAAGCAAACCCCAGCCCATAACCTAGCACAACCTGGAGAGCTGAGCTCCCAGGCCTCTCAGTTGCGCCGCCGGAACCGTTCCTGCAAGGCGTTCCTGTGATGTTTTGAGACCCTTGCTTACCTGCCGGAGAGGAGGCTGGCACATTCGGCTGGGCGTTCTGGGGCAGCCTGTGGGTGCTGTTTGTCCAGCGCTGATGTGCTGGACCAGGGCGGCGCTGCCCTTCGGCAGAACCACTGCAAGGTCCTGAGAGGCTTTGATGGTGAAGGAGCCAGCAAACTCCACACTGTTTGCTTTTACCTGCAGGCCCAGGAGCTGGGAGAAGAGGAAAAAGACCAAAGCAAAGCCAGTATAGAGGAAGAGCAAAGCAAAAGAACAAAAGCTGCTGAGAGGTATGGTACAAACAGTCAGAGCAACAAAGGAGGTGTAGAGAGCTCTAGCTCCGGATGACTTTCCTGTCTCGTCCGCCCCTGCTCTGCTCTGGCCACTGTAACCTGTACAGGCGTCCCCTGTAGAACACCCTGAGATGCTCCAGCTTCTCACAGGGTCTTTCCCACTAAACCTCTCGCTTCTCCTGCCGCCTCCTTAGTACTGTCTCAGCAGATTCCGGCTTTGTTTCAGCTTCTGGCTGGGTAGGCAGCAAAACCGCCTGCCTCTCATTTCCTCGTGACTGCTGCAGATGTGGAGCTGGCTTCTGTTTCCCTTACAGCTGTCTGACTTTTCTCTAAGGCTCCGAAAGTCGTGCTCTTGCCAAGATGGTCTGAACCTGTTAACATTGTGTGTTGCGCCCTGTGGCGTTTAACCACGGAAGACTTAGCCACTGGCCCTTGCCCGACGGCAGAGCTTTCTGGTTCTGAGGCAGCCCCCGGTCTCGGTCAGCGCTGGTCCTGCTGGGCTGCCAGCCCTTCACCGGGCAGAGCCTGTAGCTGAAGGCTCCCAGGGCCGGCCTGGTGCCTGTTACTGGTGGCGGGAGGGTCCAGCTGCAGTGTGAAGGGTTCTCTTCCACTTCCTCCCATAGAGGTGGCCTGGAGCAAGTCACTGGTTGACCAGGTGTAAGCGTTAAGCCGTTTTATATCCTGGTATGTGGACAGCTCACTCGAGTGCACCAGCTGTGCCCAAGAGCAGTGCTGGTTTCCAGACCCTTAGTTACTGCGGGGACTAGACTGTCGAGGGGAGCTATTTTCAGCCTGTTCGTGGCAACTTGTTTAAAACAGTTGCCACGCTGTGCTGAGCAGTGAGCTCCGTGCTCTCTCGAGCCCGTCCCCTCCCTCTTTGAGAGCTGCAGCATGTGGCATTTATAGATGAATCGTGTCAAAACTCTTAGCCTCCGCACAGAGTTACATATACTCTGGGGCACTGGGAACCAAGAAGCTGTTGCCTGTGCCAGGAAAAGTTGTGAACAGAAGCAGCTGCGGTCCATCTTAATGACTGGCTGCACGCACTTGGCATTTGCAGCCTTGTTCTTGGAGGAGCTGGTCACGTGAAGGTCCCCAAAAACGTGTTCTGCCCGCGGGAGTTGTCCCCTTATCACTTGGTACCTGCTTCCCAGCTGTGCATACTCCCCTTCTCTCTGCCTGTAAAGCTAGCTCGTGCTTGCCTTGTCTCTCTTCTCTGTACTTCCAAGATGAAGTAGGGCTGTAGATGTAAACATGCCTGCCAACATTTCCATCTGTAATTGGGACAACAGTGAGAGTATTGCTGATAGGGCTGACTTATCTTGGGGAAATTCTCCAAGGACTTGGAAAGGGAGGGGGAATAGTCCAGGGAAAGGATTCGGCATTTTGAGACTGACACCCATCAAATCCTCAGCCGCCTGTTAGCCTGGCAGGGCTTGAGGTGGTGGGAAGGGTTTGGAGCTTTGCTGTGCCTTTGGTCCCGTTGGCAGGCATGGCTTGGTGCCCATCTACGTCAGCTGCCCGTCCCGTCTTCCCTCTTGTCTTGTCCGCCTGCAGCAGCCACTAGCATCTGATCTGTGCTAATCTGGTCTTCCGTTACCTTTTTTGTGCCGCAAAGCGAGAGGGATCAAAGTGCTTGTGAAACATCAGAAGAGCAGTGTTTTGCTTTAGAAAATCCCAATCGGGAGGAGGCCGTGGCCCAGGAGCCGGAGGAGGGATTGCTGGATAGCCTAATCAATCCGGAGGAGCTTGCTGCCCCGCAGAAAGCGTAAGGGCTTCGGTTAAGTCCCCGGTGTTGTAAGCATAACAGCTTTTGTCCTTCTGTTCCCCTTTGTGGTGTTTGAAGCTAGCGTGTGAAGTCGGCGCACGAGGAGATGCGGTTTGGTGGGCACAGCGGAGCTCGAACATCTCCGTATGCAAATCCAAGCAGCTGTTTCACTGGCGAGAGTGCCAAGTGAACAGTCTGTACCGGGGAGGGTGAGAACAGCAGCTCAGCCCTTGGGGTCTGTGGCACAGGACTCCGTGGTACGGAGAAAGAGCTGTTTGCGTTGTACTTGGAAAAGCCTCCTTCTTACCAGTGTCGCTAACAAGGCTGTAAGCGTTCGCCCTCCTTTGATAAACGCTTTCGCACAGACTCCCGAGTTCGCTTGCTGAGTGGTGCTGAGACTGGGGGGGGCGGGGGGCAACAAAACCCCCACGGATCACCCCGGTCTTACTGGGAACATTGGTTGCTTTGAGATCGGGGGGGGCAGGGGGCAACAAAACCCCCACAGATCACCCCGCTCTTACTGGGAACATTGGTTGCTTTGAGATAATAAGGTCAGGGCGCAGGATGGTAGAGCTCAGGTTCCCCGCAAAAGCCAGCGGTCTGTTGCTGTGCTAAAGCGATGGTCTCTGCAGATACGTACCTGCAGTTCCACTGCGATAGAAGATCTCGGTCGAAGCGATTGTGCTGACTTTGCTTTCTGTGTCAAACGACAGAGCGGCAGATGCGACTGGAGAAAATAGGCAGCGCGTCTTTCAGGACAAAGTGGTGGAGGAGCAGTCTTTGATGTGGAGACCAGCACAGTATCTCCCTTTTTCTATTAGGAATTGTGTTGAGTTGCGCAAGTGTGTGTGTGTGT